AGTGTCCCTCACTATAGCTCCCCCAGTCCCAAGTGCGTAGGAGAAAGAAAAGGTGTACAGAACCATCACTTCACCTGCTCTGTAAGCACAGGCTGGAGTTACATTCTTTTAATGCAGAACCGCACACTTTGAGGGTGTAGAGTTTTGAATTACCATTAGGTTCCAGCCCTTTACGAGTTAAAGTCAAATCCTTTATTCATGTGACTTTGCACTTGCCAATTTACACAAGTAAATGTCCCAAAATGCACAGATTGACAATCTCCTCTCAAGTAGAACAGTGCCACCATGAAAACCCTCTTGGTCTAGTCACAAGAGAATAATAAAAATGTTGTGATCATGGCCAAAATCCATACTTGTATTGTGCCAGTCTGCCTGCACATTGTCAAGTAAGAAGCCTAGGGCTAGTCAGACCAGTGGGAAAATCAGTAGGAGGCAAAGTACAGGATAGAACATGCTACACCAGGGTAATAGACGAAAAATTGCGGTGGGAGAGTGAGATAGAGCAAAGCGTGCTGCAGAAGAGAACAAACAGAAGAGTAAACAGAGGGAAGCCAGAGGGTAGAGAAAAAAGATAAGAAGAAAAATGAGTGGGAAGCTAACGAAGACAAAAGGCATGAAGGGAAATAACATAGTACAGATGGGGGGGGGGGGGAAAGGAAAAGACAGAAACAGAAGATTTATACAGGAAATCCTTCCTGCCAGAAACTGCTTCTTATCACACTCAGACAAGAAACACTGCCAAAAGAAGAGCTGAATTAAGCATGGAAAGTTCAGATCACCTGAAATTTCTGAAGGCAGATGAAAGAAACTACATTAAAACACAAAGTAGTGAGCTTATGAGGATTTCATCCCAGAGTACACCACCCTTGTTCTGCTGCAAGAGAAAAATAACTTCTCCGGTTCAGTAATGCTTTCACCCACCTACTTACAGAAGAACAGGGCCCACTTAAGAGAGCAGTCAACTATTAGGGGCCAACTATTAAGTAGAACCCAGGATGAAATTCAATAGCTCTTTTAAGTTCATCAATCTGTATTGCACTCTATCCAGTATAGAACAGCCGGAGAGAACTACTCCATTCAAAGTAGAGAAAAGAAGATCTCTTCCTCCTGACTCCTCTGGCACACACCAGAGACATATATCAAGGTGTTTTAGACAAAGGCTGAGAAAAACCTTCCCTACAGGAACGTAACACTTGGCAAGTCATCAAGCACAGTCCAGTCTGGGTTTAACTCTGCAATTCTGCTTCGTTCGAAACTTATTGTTTTCTATCACCCAGTACTAACGTGCCATTCTTGAGAGAGAATAAGGATGCCCATGAATCCCCTGTGCAAGAAGATAGCTGGATGCACCCTCCAGACTCAGAGAATGGCAAAAGGCAAAACAGAAACCTAAGCTTGTCTACTCAATATTAAAAGACAGGGGGAAAACAAAACTAATAATGAAAGGAACCCCCATCCTACAATGTTAGCGGTTACCATCTGCTCAGTTTAGTCACCAGGATCATGAAGAAACCTCTCCTTGCTTCCTGAAGTTATCATAATTGTCTCATAGCATGCCGCTGGCTCTCTCACAAACCATTAATAATCAAACTTGCCTATCAGCAAAGAAGGATGACCAACACAAACACACAATTGTGCCATCTTTACACTTGGCTTGCACCACCAGTCTACTGTTCCAAAAGAAAGGGTGTTTAACCTTCTCAGACACCTATCTTAAAACATTAAAGATCAAAAATTTACTCATATTCAAGAATAACAGATACCCAGGATTCAATATGGGTTTTTTTGAAAAAAATGCATAAATATATACTTGGTTTGCTGTTTCTCTTAAGACACATCTCCGTGTTTTCTAAAATGTTTGTTATACTTTGGGTTACTTTGTGCTAAAATTTCTTTTGCCATTACTGCTCAAAAGTACAACTGGTTGTGTTGATTAGACACCACATGCTGAAACATTCATGAGAAAGTAAGAACAGGGCTCACCCTCAGCTCAACCAGCAGATAGGTGGTTGACATCCAGTCAGTGTTTCACTGCCTCAGTCACAACTGAAGACAGACTCAGAAACTGTATCTCACGTTTCTTTTACAAGTCTTGGAAATTCCATCATACAGAAGCCGTCTTCTAACATCCCATCAAAGAGGAATGAATATCTTTCTGCACATACACCCTCGGATTAAGGTTGCCATTGCAAACTTCCTGAAGTCATACAGAATGAACACTTTGACTGCTCAGATTCTCATATGCAAACAGTCCTCTCCCTAGTCCATGCAGAGCTGGAAAAGTTTCCATTTATAGCTCACACATAACAAGGTCCACTGTTTTTTGCTATCTTGTACCACTACTTCCTCTTTCTGTGGTTGATCACAAATTAAGTATATTTTGTATTCACAAAAGATAATCCACATCCATAAATATTTAATTTTTATGTTTACAAATTAAAAAAATATGAGCCAGTTCAACTAGCTGATGGAAACCAATTATCTGCTCAACTCAGTGAAGCAACATTGATTAACTCCCTAAGAACCAAGCCTATAATATCCATATGCAAATTAAAATTCATAAAACTGAATTTTGGGGGGTTACATAATGAGGAACTGAAGACACTGATGGCAGACCATGTTCCTGCTCCTCACTCTGGTCTCTCCCACCAAGGCACTAAATGATCCAAGTGCTGCAGTCTGCACAGTGTCAATGGATGTCAGTGTCCAGAGAGAGGAAAAGGAGGAAGAAGAGGCTGTGGGATTGATAGGACCAAACCACTGGGCAGAAAGGGAAAATATTATCTTATTCTCCCCACTTTAATTTTAATTAAAGTCAGAGTGGGGTACTGCCTCCTGGCAAGATCAAACTGACACTGTAGGGTTCACTACACTACAGGGGGCAACGGGCTAAAATCCTACTAAACCTATTCATAATATTTAATGTGAATATTTAAGACCTGGTCTGGTTTTTAGACCTGTGTCAACAAAGATCTGAATATTATTCAACAGAATAATCCCTACTTCAACTACAAAACAACTGATAGTCCTCTCTTTCAAATATGTATCTATACATACACCTCAAGCATCAGGAAATGCATGCTCAAGCAGGTTCCTAAGCAAGCCTGAGTATTTCTAATGTAAGAGTTCTGTGATGCTCCCTCTCAGTGCACTTGAATCCACACTAAGAGCTCAGCAAAGGAAGTGGGTCTACACTAGGAAAAGTGTCAGAGATAAGAAATCAGGCCACAGGTTAGTGCATTGCATGATGTAGAACCTCAGTCATAAGAGAAGCCAATGCTATTCATTCCAGAACTATTTATTAAATCAGGTACACAAGTTGTGCCTGCGTGGTCCTTGGTTTGGCTTAAATCTGTCCCAGACCCTGAAAACACATTGTCAAGATAAATGCCATCCTTTGAGCCAACTTTGTGGAATTACTCAAAATCTGTATAAACAGGATGTGAGTTTAAATGGGAATCTGAGAGAATTTAAATGGCCAAGTAAATTATATTTACACACAAAGCATGTACTTTATATACTGGACTTGTTCAAGATCCTTTTACTTAAAATGGACAAGGATCTCTTACTAGAAGAACACACAATTTATTTTTGCTTAGATAAACCTGGCAACATTAGATTAAAAAAGCCATCAGGGATGAAAATGTCCATTTCTTTCTAAGTCCTAGCGCATTGTAGAATTAGGTCAGAAATAGCAGACGTTAGTCTAACAAAACTAGGGCTAAAAACATTTATTTCAAAATTATTAGCTTCTGACACACGTAACTGCTTTACCCTTTTCATGTAATGCTTTATGAAATTAGTTATTAGTGGATCTCCTGCCAGATTGACAGCTATGGGGATTTGTGCCCTGAATTTCTCAGGGGGGAAAAAAAAAAAAAAAAAAAAAAGGGACAGATAAAGACTGTTGGTTGGCTAGATACACTGATGCATAAGTCGTTCTTTACATTGACCCGAATTATTCTGGCTTTTGCCAGCATTTTCTATTGTCCATATTTGCTTAATCTTAATAAACAAAAAAATATGAAATGGGTCACATGCACAGAATACTTTTAGGAAAAGAAACAAGCTTATACACCACAAATTACACAAACTTGTTCATAAATAGAAGACCTCATACCAACCTAAATTTTCCAGGTAAATTAATCCAAAATCACCTACTTACTGGTATCCAGTTATTTCCTGAACAATCCTCCCCTCCCCCTTAGAGAAGTCATATGCAGATTTTAAATGCACAGTATCACTGAATTCCACTATTTCAAGATGTTGCTTAATATAATAAAAGAAATTATTGCAACGTCATTCAACATTACCCCTTATTGTGATAGCCTTTAAGTTTTAACAGAGAATTAAAACAAAATATTTTGTCATGTTTTCAAGCACAACACAATTTTCCACCAAAGAAATACACGTCCACGCACTACTTACTGCAGTACCATCCTTTTTTTGAAAAATCACTTATACCAGCAGTGACTGCTTTTAAAAGTCACAATAGTGTTCCTACCACTTTACAGATTTATTAATGTAAAATTTCCCACATTAAAAAATTAAATATCTGGTAAAATACACAGCTAAACAACACCATTAAAAACTGAAAAACAACTAGACAAGTATATTAGGAAAAGCAGTAAAACTTCAGGATTGAAACAAGTGTCAGAAACAGTGACAGCTAGTACATTTAATATAAGCAACAGAAATTCAAAGTAAGGTTTTTATACCACACAAATACACATATGCAAGCAGCATAATATTCATCTACACTCTCCTCCAAAGAATTTCACTGCTGGAAAATCTTATTTTAAACACATAGGAAAGCATATATTAAAAAAAAAAAAAAAGCAATTCCATATGCATTTTATTTTAAAGCTTCACTATATACCAATTTATTTTTAACTAAAATTATTTTCACTTAATGCAGCCTCAAATACTAGCAGTCAGTCATGACTGTCAAGTTAAAAGTATAGCAAACAAACAGAAAATAAAAACTCAAGAGTACTTACCAAATTATGATTAGTTGAATTAGAATCATCTTCTGGGAATGGGATGTAAACAGCTAAGGCCACACAATTGGCAAAAATAGACAGTAGTATAAATATGTCAAATGGTCTGGAAAATCTTGTTAAGGAATTAATGAATTATGAGTATTGACAAACTTTTAAGCCTAGTTCTCCTTTCAGCATCAACACTTTTGAAGCAGGTCTTACTTTTAAAGCAATCTTTTGACTGATAACTGTGAAAGCACTTCATCACCTTTAGCTATATCACTATACCCTATTATTCTCCATCACAATGATCTCTCAACGTCCTTTTCTTTTTGAAAAAAAGATAAAACTATCACTCTTGCTGCCACAGAGCACTTAATATTCCATTCCAGAAATTAATATAGTTATACACTCTTAAATCAATTTGTGGGTCATCATGATGGGTGAGGAATACTTACTGAGCTGTCCTGCCCTCATATGCTCACCTAAGTCTCATTAATGTTAACAGAAATGTGTGTGCCCAAAGGAGGAAAATCATCTGGGATCTAGTTTGTAGGAGGATATGAGACAGTTTCCCAGCAAATACCAATTGTTCTCCTGTATGAGAGCTGGAAAGCCATACAATGGACACAGGAATATCCTGAGCCACTCTTCATGTTTCTGACAGCTGGACTCCTGAACAATTTTGCTTTGGCCATGACAGATCAAATTTTAGGAGAGCAGGCTGGGGAACAGAGTGTCATTACTGGCTTTGCAGCCACCCCCACCTAAAAGGCATA